TGCATAGGACCTGGCTTCGAATCCCAGTTTCCACATGGTGACAAACAACTCTCTGTAACTTGAGTTCCAGGGGCTCCAACATGCTCTCAGCTAACAACTGTCCATAACTCCAGTCCCAGGGGATCCGACAGCCTCTTCTGACCTCCAAGGCACAACACGGGTGCACTTACCTACATGCAGGCAATACACACATACACATAAAATAAAAATAATAAAATAAAATAAAATAACTCTCTAAAAAAAAAAAGAATCCAGCAAGAACTGAATTTAGGGCTGGGCATGGTGGCACATACCTATAATCTCAGGAGAGGCAGGTAGATCTCTGTGGGTTTCAGGTTAGCTTCATCTAAATAGTGAGTTTCAGGCCAGGGCTACATAGCGAAATCCTGTCTGGGAAAAAAAAAAAAAAAAAAAAAAAGGCTGTTGCTCTTGTAGAGGACTTGGGTTCAGTTCCCAGCACCTACATGGAGGCTAACAACCATCTGAAACTCCAGTTCCTGAAGATCCAATGCCCTGTTCTGGCCTCTACAGGCACTGTACAACATGGGTACATACATGTATGCATGAAGGCAAAACACTCATACCCATAAAAATAAATAAAAAACAGAAGAAAAAAGAAAGAAAAGAGGGAAAAAATGACTAACTCAGCTCAGATTAGTACAGAAGTACTTTATTTTACTTTTTAATTTTTGGTCTTTTTGAGACAGGGCCTCCCTGTAGCCCCAGCTATGCTGGAAATCACTATGTAGACCAGGCTGGCCTTGAACTCACAGAAATCCACCTGCCTCTGCTTCCCAAGTGCTGGGATTAAAGGTGTGTGCCACCAAGCCTGGTTACAGAGGTACTTTAAAAAAAGAGAGGGGAAGAGTAGGTGTGAAGTAAGGTTCCCTGTGTCTGTTAGCTGATAATTAATGACATCAGGATTTTAACCTCCCACAGAGACTAGGAGACAGAGTCCTTACCCTTCTGTATGATCACATTGGAAAGCAAGGGATTTCAAGTCCTTGAGATTCTCTTGAGTTGTAGATTTAAATATCATAAGCATCTCAAAGGGACAAATGGAGCCTATTTAAGCCTTTTGGTAAATGCCTAAGAAAGGGGAGATGGCCAGGGCCTATAGTTAGGTCGGTTAAAACAAAGTTAATTATTTTGACAGCCTAGATCTTTCTGAGCAGTCATTTTAAGGAAGACTATGGACATGCTAAAGATGTAGCCTTAGACTATGAGAAACTGGTAGTTTTTAAGGATGTGTATTTTTTTAGAGATAGGGTCTCTCTAGGTAGCCCAGGCTGGCCTTAAACTCTTGATCCTCCTGCTTCAGTTTCTGGAGTGCAAAAATTACAGGCTTGTGCCACCATATCAGACTATAAGACTTTTAATGCAGGGAGGAAGGGCACAAAATTAATTGTATTGAGAACATGGATGTTTGTTTGTTTGTTTGTTTGTTGAGACAGGGTCTCACTGTTGTCACCCTGCCTGGCCTGGAACTCACAAAGATCCATCTGCCTCTTCTTCCTAAGGGCTGGGATCAAAGGCGTGCCTGGCTCAAATGTGTCTTTTTTTTTTTTTTTCAGGGGTAAGGGTTGAGACAGGGTCTCCCTGTAGCCCCAGATGGCCTGGAACTCACTATGTATGTAGACCAGGCTGGCCTTGAACTTAGATCTGCCTGCCTCTGCCTCCTTAGTGCTGGGATTAAAGGCATGAACCACCATGTCCAGCAAAAGTGTTATTTTCTTTTTTAAATTAATTTATTAATAAGGGAGACATGACACAATACTTGGTGAAAACATACTTTCCTGTGTCCTGGTCCTATTCTTTGTAACCCAGTGAACTCAGTATAAACCCTGCAAGACATAAAATTGAATGAGTTTTTAACCTTTAAAAAAGATTTCCATTTCATTTTAAAATATACTGTTTCTTACAGAGACTCGTTTTTATTTTTTAATTTTATGTGTATGAGTGTATTGCCTGCACGTGTATAAGTGCACCTGTGTCATGCAATGGAAGAGGGCATCGGATCCTTTAGATCTGGAGTTATAGACAGTTAACTGCCATGTGAGTGCTGGGACTCGAACTTGGATCCTCTGCAAGAGCTGCCAGTGCTCTTAACCACTGAGCCATCTCTCCAACCCCCTCAAATATATAATTTTTAAAGCAGAGGCAGGATAATCAGGAGTTCAAGGTCATCTTCAGCTACACAGGAAGTTTCAGACTAGCTTGGACTACAAGAGCCCATTTCAGAAACAAAAATCAAAACAAAAAAGAATATTTCACAGTTTTTATAGGCCAGGTTGAACTCTAGTCAGCTTCAGAGGAAGCTAACTAGAGTTTGGACAAAGGGAGAGTCATGATCACCTTATAGCTGGAGAGTCAACTCTCCCCTTCAGGAGTTTGCAGCTCTGAGGACACAGTAGGCTGTGAAGAGGGCATACCAGGACCAGAATGAACTTTTGTCTCAGACCTGATAAGTCAGGATCTACTTTTCCACCGGTCACTCTCAAAGCTGTCTTAAGTCATAATTCATCCAGAGGTACCAAATTCTACTGAATTGACCCTGTCCTAGACATCTGATATCACACTCCTGATACTTCCTGCCCCATTTTGCAATCAAACCTTCTTAGTTTAAGGGGAATTTCAAGGGCCTAACATCTGGCATACTTTTCAGCCAGATGTCCCATGCAATATTTTTCTTTACTGGGTACAATTTTTGTTGTTGTTTTAATTTTGGTTTTGTTTTTTTGAGACAGGGTCTCCCCATGTGGGACCCATGATGGCTTCAAACTCATTTTGTAGGCTAAGACAACCTGGAATTCATGGTAGATCCTCCTGTTGTAGCCTCTTAAGTGTTGGATTGTAGGTATAAGCCACCACACCCTGCGTTGCACTTGTGTTTTAGTATTAAGAAGAACATTCCTAGCTCTGGCCTGTGAGAAGGCTCAGCAGATAAAGGCACTTGCCACCAAGCCAAACAACCTGAGTTCTATCCCTAGGACTCACATGATTGAAGGAGACAATTGACTCCTGCAAGTTGTCTCTGACCAGTACATGTGCACCATGGCAGATACACACATGCACACACACACACACACACAATCAGTCAATAAATGGAAAGAACATTATTTCTGGCATACATAGCAAGACCCTGTCTCAAAAGGAATAATGGAAAAGATACTCCTGTTCTAAACTGGATTGAGACCTGCTTTCCATGCTGATTCCTCAGATGTGATTGTGGTTTTTTTATAATTTTTTGTTAGTTTGGAGACAAAACTTCAGTGTGTTTCCCAGACTGACTTGGAAATCAAGGCAATTTTCCTGCCTCCAGCTCCCAAGTGCTGTTTTCCAGACCTATGACACTGTGCTTGGCTCAGATGCTATTATATCCTATATCCATCCATACTTGAAAGACAATGCCAGAAGTGTAGCCAACAAACACCAATAGTAATAGTGTTCTTGAGACCAGTAGCATCAGCATCTCCTGGGAATTTATTAGAAATAGACATGCTAGGGGCTGGAGAGATGGCTCAGCATTTAAGAGCACTGACTGCTCTTATAGAGGACCTGGGTTTGATTCCCAGCACCCACACGGTGGCTAACAACCATCCATAACTCCAGTTCCAGGGGATCTGATGCCTTCTTCTGACCTTCAAAGGCATCACATGACACAGGTGCACTTACACACATGCAGGCAATACACTCATACACACATAAAATAAAAGCAAAATATTAAAAAGACATAGACATGCTGGGGTCTGGGGATGTAGTTCAGGTGGAAGAGTGCTTGCTTAGAAAGCCCTGGATTTGAAACTCAGCACCACATAAACTAGGCATAGTGGCACAGCTAGTAATTCTAGCACAGTGGAATCAGAAGTTCGAGGTCATCCTCACTTATATAGTGAGTTCAAGCCCATTCTGGGCTTCATGAGTCAGACAGACAGATTTTTAACGTTTGTTGGCCAGGCACACCTGTAGTCCCAGTACTTGAGATGCTGAGTATGAGAATTGCTGGGAGTTCAAGGCCAGCCTAGGCTATTTAGTAAGAAGAAAAAAAAGGGAGAAAAGAAAGGAAAGAGAAGAGACAGGCAGATACATTCTGGGGTCCCAGCACTAATGAACCAGAAACTGCTAGCTAGGGCCAGAAGTCTACGTTTGGCCAGGATCTCCAAGGGGAGCCAGTATGCACCAGTTTGAGAACCATATGCCTTCCAGAGACGTTCAGAGGACAGACATACCATAATTAGCTTCCTAATGGCTTGGAGGTAGATTTGAAAGTTGAAGAAAGGACTTGCGAAGAAAAGGCATGGAAGAATATTTAAAATGCGTGCGTGTTACCCTAGAGAATTGGAAGCTACTAGCACCTAAGAATGAGATGAACTGAGATGTGTCAGTGGGTGAGGGCTATAGGAGTCTAAAAGACATTCCTCACAGGTGGAGTACACTCTGAGAGGATAAACTCCATGCTCACATCGTTGCTGGAGCCTCTCTTTCCATCCGCGTGGACGCAGCGGCCTTACTGCAGCTGCAGCTTGCAGGGCCAGGGCATGAACCCAGCTGGCTCAGGTCGTGGCTCTTGGCAAGAGCAAGCAAAAACAGTCCCCTTCAGCTGGGCTCGGCCGCAGCTGATCACAGCCGCGTGTGAGAGGCATCCTCCTCTACTTCGCATCCTTTGATGAGCCAGGTACCCAATCGGGCTGGGATACCACAGACCGCATGGTTCAAGCCTCATGTCGCCGGGAGCCGGGTCGTACGAGAAATAAGAGAGTCTCTTACTACTATGCCGTAGCCCCCTGAATCCCAGCCGAACTACAAAGACCATGATCCCAGGGGCTCGAGCGCACTCCTTTCTGGGAGTAGTAGTCCTAAATGCAAGTCCCGCCAGCGGGTCCTACACTAAAAGGACTACATATCCCAGCATGCCTGCGTGAGTGGGGGGGGCAGGAGGGAGGGGAGAGACCGGGAGGATGTGAGTGGGGAGGGGGTACCGGCCCCCTTCCCCCACCCTTCCCTTCAGCTGGGCTGGGGTGGGGGGAGGGGCCGAGCTGAAGAGGCGGCCGCGGCGCTCCCGGAGGGCAGGGCCAGGCAAAGGCGGGACTGGCCCGCAGCTGGGGGACTGGAGAGCTGCGAAGCTAACGGGTCCGGGCTCTGGAGGAGGCGGCGGCGGTGGCGGCAGCAGCTTTCAGCACGGGCGGAGGCGGCGGCAGGAGCTGCAAGCATGGCCCGCGCGGCGCCCAGCGCTGACTGAGGTGCGCGGGCCGGATGAGGGAGGGCGGGATGCGGGGCGGCCCGGGGCCTCATGCTGCCCCAGACCTCCTCTGCGCGGGTTGCGGTCTTGGCCCAGAGGCCCAGACCCAGCGGGTCCAGCTTGGCAACTTCCCCCCGGTCTGGGCGCCGTTTGGGCGGGGGTCCGCTTGCCTTGGCCTCGATCAGTATCCCCGCCTTCTGCTCCTGCACATCTACCCGGCTGCTCCCGGTCTTCCAGGCACTCCTGTTCCACTCCTGGCCGGCAGCCCCCAGCCCAGCCTTTGGGCTCCCGGTCCAAATCCCCACTTCCACCCGGTACCTAGTTGATACCCCGGCCTCGGACGCTGTGGCCCCTTCTCCATCCAGAAACCCCTGCCCCACTCATCTTGGCCAGTAGCTGTCTGCTCCATCCACACCTCGCCTCCCCCCACCCCCACGGCCTTTTCCCCCGGAACTGGCACTGTCCCCTAGCCATGCTCTGTGGCCTAGTTCTCTCTGATAAGACCTGACAGCTTGACCTCTTTCCTACTTTGGAGAAACTGAGGCATGGTGCAGACCTGAAACGTGGTTAGTGTGACCGTCCTGCGGACGCTGGCCAAAGTCCTGTCCCTTGTCGCTCCTGTTCTTCCCTGCCTTGGAATGGAAGGCACATTTCTTCCCTCCAGTTATGTCCCTGTGACTGAACCAAACTTCCCAGTCCCTTTTGAAGCCCTGGGCTGAGCCCTCTTCAGTTTCCCCTTTCATTCTTCTACTTCTGGTGTTCCCTTCTTTGCATAGCCCTTAGCCTGGAGAGACTCACACGCCAATTGCTGCTTGCTCAAGTTAGCCTTTCTGTATCTCTTGCCAACTGCATCCATCTCCCATTTTGCCTCTTGCTTTCCAACTGCACATTGGGAAGGATTCAGGGCACTCTGGTGGTCCTGGGAAGTAGCCATTCCTATCCTGTAACCCACACTCCTAGCATGTCTTTGGGACAAGGGCTGGCCATCCCTCTTCCTCGTGCTTGGTGGCCTCAGGAGTCCTCAGGGATGGAAGGGTACCATTTACCTTTAATGGAGGTAGTGGCGGTAGAGGACTCTGGTCACCATATCATGAAGCTAATCTGGCTTCTGCTGCTAACTTTGGAGGAGGTTACCCCTTCAGGGAGAGATGCCTGCTAGGTGCTTTGAGCCCTTTGTGGAGGAAGACATAGTGTCTGTAGGCGGTGTTCTCAGGTTTAGTCTCGGTGCTTGGGATTTGAAAGGAAAAGGGAGGGAGGGCACACAAACTTGCCTGCATAATTCAGCTGCTTTGGGGATGGGTCATCTTCCATCGACAACTTTTCCTTTTTTACCCCAGTTCCTAGTTTCCTAGTGAAAAGTAGAGCCAGGAGAAAACCCCTGATGAGCCATCAGGGAGGGAGGAGATGGTCCAGGAGTTTGGAAGGGTCCTGAGTGAGCAGTCTTGATCTGAACCAGATGGTTCTCTCTGCTTCAGCAGCCCCCCTTCCATGTTCCCTCCCTCTTTGGCTGTGAATAGGATGTTTTTAACCTTGTAACTTGAGAATGAAGAAGGGAGGCCAGGGGGCCAACTGTCTGTATGAATGTTTATGTCTACATCTGCACACTGCAAGCTTGCCGGGGGACTGTGGGAGTGTCCCCACAGTGTGGAGTTCTGTGGCATGCTGATGGACCTCTACATGCTTTTGGAGCCTAAAGTCAGATAGAGCCAGTATTGAAACCCGTAAGAACCGATAGAGTCAGACAGGGTGGCCACACCTTGTCTATCCCAGTGTTCAGGAGGCTGAGGCAGGAGGATCACCATTTCAAGACCCCATAGGCTATATCATGACACCTTGTCTCAGGAACCCGAACGAGGGGCCTGTGACATAGCTCAGCGGGTAAAAAAGATACTGCCAAACAAGCCTGGAGACCAGAGTGGATCCCTGGAACCCAAATTAGTTAGAAGGAGAGAACTAACTACACAAAATTGTCCTCTGACCTCCATATATGCATTGTGGCATGTGCACCCTCACCCACACATCATGCGCACGCAAGCACACGCTCACACACAATTTTTTTTAAGAAAGGACTACTAGACTACTGGGTGAGGGAGAGTACGACTTACATACCACCACTGGATGGGCTGACTAGACTCCAGTGGGCACATTTACACTGAAGGACGTTGGGTACAAACATCTGAATGTATCAGCATGTATGGCAGAGTACATAGGGTTTGGTGGGGGGATAGCGAGAGGCATGCATGGGGGAGGGGGTCTGGATGTGAGTGGGAAATGTATGAAATTTTAAAATCTTAAAAAATTTAATGGATGCCGGGCGTGGTGGCGCACGCCTTTAATCCCAGCACTTGGGAGGCGAGTTATTTTCTCCAGTGGTGAGTTTCCCATGCTCCAGTAAACAATTCCCTGCTCACCTTCATTCAGGCAATCCTGATTAAACTCAGCAGGAGCAAAAATAATAACAAATAAACCCAGTAAGTTACAGCAATAAAAAGACATGAAAACCACACCTTTAATTCCAGTAGGGGCAGGCGGATCTCTGTGAGATGGCAGTCAGCTTGATCTACATAGTGAGTTCTGGGTCATCTGTGCCTACAGGGACACTGTCTCAAAAAAAACAAAAAAAAAAAAAAATCAATAGAGCAAAATAAATAAATAAATAAATAAATAGGACTACTAGATGTGGTCCCATGAATCTTCTTCCCCTTAAGGCAAGCCTTGGGGTGAGGATCACTCTTCTTGGGAAGGCTGTTTCAGAGGAGTCTGAAACAGCAGGATTCAGGGTGTGGGGAAGGCTAGGCAGCTTGGCTCCCCCTTCAGCTTGAGTTTTCTTTTTATGGTTATAGCAAGAGAAGGGGGAGGGGGGAGAGTAGGATCTGAGGAGGGGGTGGAAAATGGATTTCTTTGTTGTTCCAGAATACATTTCTGCCTTGTAGTGATTTAGTGTATTTGCATTTTGTTTTGTTTCATTTTTGAGTCAGTGCAGTGTATTATGTAGTGCAGGCTGTCCTCAAATTTAATATGTAGCTACGTATGGCTTTGAACGCCTGATTCTCTTGCCTCTGCCTCTAAAGCCTTGGGATTACAGGTGAGTGCCACCATACCTAGCAGTGAGTTTGTGGATGTTCTTTAAAAGTCTCTTTATTTCTGAAATGCTCCATCTGCTCTGTCCTTGGCACATAGTTGGTGCTCAGTAAAGTTGAAGTCGAGGGTGGGTTTTTTTTGTTTGTTTTTTATTTGTTTTTGTTTGTTTGTCTGTTCTATCTTTCTGAGGAAGGATCTCCCTGTAGCTCTAGCTGACCTGGAACTTGCTATGTAGACCAGGCTGGCCTTGAACTCACAAATATCCATATGCCTTTGCCTGCCAAGTGCTGGGACTAAAGGTGTGTGCCACCACGTCTGGCCCAGGTTTTTTGTTTTTAATTTGTGTGTGTGTGTGTGTGTGTGTGTGTGTGTAGGTCAGAGGAAAACTTTCAGGAGTTCCTTCACTATTTCTATCATGTGGGTTCTAGGCATCAAACTCAGGTTGTCAGGCTTGGCAGCAAGCACTTTTACCTATTCAACCAACTTGCCAGCCATTGTTTTCATTTTTTGTTTATTTATTTTAGGTTGTTTGACTTATTTATTTTTATGTTATGTGTATGAATGTTTTACCTGCATGTATGTAAGAGTACCCTTGCATGCAATGCTCAACAGAAGTCCTCTGGAACTGGAATTATGGATGGTTATTAGCTGCCATATGGAACTGGAGTTATGGGCGGTTGTTAGCTGCCATGTGGGTGCTGGAAACTGAACCTGGGTTCTGTACAAGAGTAGTCACTGCTCTTAATCACTGAGCCATCTCTCCAGCCCTGTTTTTGAAGCAGGGCTTCATTGTGTAGCCCTGGCTGGCCTGGAACTCCCTATGTAGACCAGACTGGCATGGAACTTTTGTCAATCCTCCTCTCTCTTGTCTCCTGACTGCTGGGATTACAGGTGTGTGCCACTGTGCCTGGCAAAGCAGAGGCTTATGATTAAAGGTTTGGGGCAGGTGCTTTTTGCACTTGAGCAGGCCTTGGAGTCACTGGAGAACTGATTAGGGCAGAGATGCGTAGGCCATGCTGACAGAAGTTTTTGATGCAGGCAGTCTGCAAGTGGCATAGAATTTGGAACTCTCCTCATCTCCTTTAGACTAACAACCCAGACAGATGAAAGTCCTAAGGAAGACTTCCTTCCACCTTACTTCCCCACCAAGGTTTGTGGTAGCTCTGCTGTTTTGGCCTTTTTCTTTCATTTTGATGCTGTGCAGTTGACTAGGTTAATGAGAGGCCTGCCTTGTGGGGCTGGAGGTTTCAGTCTACTGTAACCATAGCTCCATTGTTCTTGGAAGGAAGGTCCCATCACCAAGCAGGATGTCTAGGAATCAGGACTTTGGAAAAGGGTGGCTGCATAGGCACAGGAAGCTAGAGTAGAGACAGACCCTGATCTGTCCCATGCCAGTTTCCCAAACAGAGAGGATTAGGATGCCTGCCAGATATAGTCCTGTTATGGCTGCACACTGGAGAGGATGCCTAGGAATCCAAAATTTAGACAAACAGGAGGAATCACGTTGTGCTCTGCAAAACATTTTCTATCTGTTGTTTACAGGCCAATGAGAAGTAGAGATAAAGGAAAATATAGACAGAAGGCAGATAGAGATCTAGGTGGGGTTACTGAGGAACAGAAACATAATACTGTGGGTCACACAGAAGTCCCCACACTCCTGATTCCAACTCTCAGGCTGAGCATCTGTTAAATCAGTTCTAACAGCTCAAATAATGGCTGTCATTCATCGAGTGCTTACTGCTAGGGAGTCCTCGTTGCAACATTGCAAGGTTAGCGTTGTTGTCACTACTACATGAATGAAATTTAAAGTAAAACATCCACAGCTAGGAAGCTCGCTCAGTCAGTAAAAAGCTTGCCTTGCAAGCATGAGGACCTGAGTTCAATCTCCAGCACCCACATAAAAATGCCTGGCATGGTGAT